GATGCCGGCCCATCACAGATGTGCTCCTTGATGATCTTCTCAAAGAATTTCCCCAGGATTGAGGTAAGACTGACGGGCCTATAGTTGCCCGGGTCCTCCCTCCTCCCTTTCATAAAGATGGGGACCACATTGGCTATCTTCCAATCATCTGGCACCTGGCCCGAGCACCATGAGCGCTCGTAAAGCTGTGCCAAGGGCCCAGCAATAACCCTTGCTAGCTCCCTCAACACCCTGGGGTGGAGAGCATCTGGACCTGCTGACTTGAACATGTCCAGCCCCTCCAGAAGCACTGTAACCCGGTCCTCCTCAACCTTAGGTCTTGAGGCGTTCCCCTCGAGTCCGTCTTGAAACACGGTGGGGGAGTCCCAGTCCCTGCACAAGAAAATGGAGGTGAAGAATTTGTTAAAGATGTCTGCCTTCTCCTCTGGCACAACCACCAGATTGCCCAGCGCATCTTGCAGGGGCCCCACATTTCCCGGTGCCTTCTTCATCCTCCCTATATATTTGAAAAAGGACTTCTTATTATCTTTGATCTTGGATGCTAGTCCTAGCTCTATGTCCGTCTTAGCTTTCCTAACAGCCCCCCTACAGGCCTCAGCATTGGAGGTATACTCTTCTTTGGAGATCGCCCCCTGGGTGTACGCCACCTTTTTGGCAACCAGGCATTCCCAGACTTCCTTGGTGAGCCAGGGAGGCTTTTGGGCACTCTTGCCCCCCTTGCTTCTAGTTGGGATTGTCACCCCTTGGGCCCTGAGTATCGTCTCCTTAAGGAACAACCACTAATCTTGGGCACTGAGTTCCCCTGCCCTCGAGAACCCCAGCGCCTCCTGGGGTTCTTCTTTGTATCTAAACCCCAGTGTTTTAGAGATAAAGCTGACGCTGGTCCTATGAATGCTGTAATGTTGCCTCTGCACCCATGATACTGTTTTCCTCAAGGATGATTTTCTTTACAATTTGTTATTTTCATTGCATATATTATTGTAATACCGCCCACATGTGTAAAAGTGCAATAAAGATTAATGAGAGCATGCGTTTCTTGTCCTGAGGAGTTTATATTCCAATATGATGAAACTCCAGGTAATGCATTACAATCTATGAGACAGCAAAAAAAGGGAAATTATATAATTCCTTGCAGTTATACTAGTTCTTCAATTAGTTTGTAAAATTTTAAAGAAAGCATTTCAAATGAGTTTCATTCTCACAATGTGACCACTGGAAAACCCCATCATTCTATTTATTCACTGCAAATCCACTACAGTATGTCTCGAAGAATAAAAGGATATGGTTTAATCGTGTTAGGTCAATCGCATTAGTAAAACATAACTGAAAGTCCTGTTAGCTGGCAATGTTAGCTGGCCTCATCTCCTGAAAAGGCAAAAAGACAGCTAGATAACAATTTCAAACTGTAAGAACTATAAGCCTGCATCTTAACAGGGCTTTTAAACAGTGTTACATGAATTTGACTGAGTTAGCAGAATTGAAAAAGCACGCACTTCTGCCATATGAAAATAAGACTATGTTGTATGAAAGTGTAATATCTCCCATAAAAAGATTTATAACTGATTTCAGTGAAGGTTGGGAAACGATGTTGGTACTATCACAATATATATATAAAAGTAAAAAAAATGCCTTAAACTATACCATAGCAAGGATGCTAATCCAGAGAAAATATACTATGTTTCAAGCCCTAGAGAATATTTTCTACTACTAGGGGCCTTATTGCTCATTAATCAAGATTGTTCAACCTATTAGAAACTATAGTACTTAAAAAATCTGTGCTATTGTATCACAGCACCTTTGTTCATGGGTGGATCCAGGAACTGGCAAAGGGTGGTGCAGGTGCAGCAACCTGTGCTACAAGGGTGTCTGCACTCTCAGTCCCAGCTTCTTCCCTCCACAACCCACTAGTGGGAACAGACCACACTGCAGGAGCCTACAGGGTCTTTTTAAAGTTCACAAAGCAGGTAAGAGCCCCCCACCTTCCCCCAGGTGCTCAGACAGATTCATAGATTCATAGATGTTAGGATCGGAAGGGACCTCAATAGATCATCGAGTCCGAACCCCTGCATAGGCAGGAAAGAGAGCTGGTTCTAGAT